AATACTTTATTGTTCTCATTTTAATTTAAGCATGGCAGTATTTTTATTTTAAAGTATTTTAGAAACAATGACACTAGAAGTACAAACAATATGAGAAGGAAATGATTATTGTGGTGTGAGTTTCTATTCAACTGCAGAATGGAATTGGCAAAGACAAAACAAATGCATTCAAGGAAAATTTTCTGACATAGTTGACTGAATATCGAGGAAGATAACAGGCTATAAGAATAATGTAGGTTTACTGGAAAATACAATAACTTGTGTCTGTGAAGAAAAGCAAAGTTATTTGATAAAACTAAATTTTATTTTTGACATAGCAAATCCACAATACCCACACTGAAAATGGACTATTACCCATGTTTCTTTAGGGTACCAAGTGAGGGCGTCTCTATAGGTGATACCTTCTGAGATGCGCGAGTAGGGCACAGTGTAGGAAACAATTCTTTCAGACGAGAGGAAACCACATGAAAACCACACAGACCACACTATTTTAATTGTAAAGTATATCTTGTCCAATTTAGTTTTTATTCATTGGCAGCTATTGGTTTTTATTTTAGAAAATGTTGATTTAAATGACCATCAAGGTAGGCAGTATTAATAGCGGGTGTCAGCGCAGATTATAGACAGTAATTCAAAGCCTTTGTTTCTTGTTAGTTGTGTGATTGGGAGCAGTGGTTTAAATCTCTCTGCCAACCTCTTCACATGTAGTACAGGAGTAGAAGTGTCCAGAAGTAGCATTAGGAAAGTACAGTGGCGATAATGAAGACTGAATGATATAAGCAAGCCCAGATAGTGTGCATGATACAAGGTAGGCGCCGGGTTCTACATCTTATAGTATATGCTGTCACTTAATCTTCACAAAATTATGACACCAACAATTCTGATGCAACACTTTATCTACAAATTCTGTATCATAATCCTACTTTTTGGATGAGTAAGCTGTGGAACTGACATGTGGAGGGGCTAAGTGAAGCGGCCAGGATTTGACAGATTAAGCATTTAGGCAGTCAGGATCCAAGACTGCTTTACACGTCCTTTCTGATTCCAACTCTTCCTTAGGTATTTTTTAAACCTTCATACATAGATGATTTCATAAATGTGTTCGTGACACTTCTGACATCAATAATGTGCAAATAATTCTCATCTGCTTAATGCTATTTCTTCTAGGACAGTATAGAGCTTATCTGAATCTAAAGAATGGCCCCTAACACTGAATTTTATATGCCCATGGTGCATAAGTTTTTATCAGCATAATGAGTGAGTTACTATAAACATCTCTAAAACAATAGCTTATTGCTGTAAAATGGCTTATTCAACTGTCATTTTTATTGTCCCTATGGTCATCCAGATTTTGAATTCCCTCTCAGAAGGCATCTGTCTCTTTTGATTCCTTTTGCTAGGAAGCGGATAGCAGAAGACTATGTACACAGTAAATAGTTAAGATAAAGAAAGGTGAAGAGAATAGATAATAAATAATTTTTTGTCACATATACAAACGAACACAAAAGTACTGCGATGAGAACCCATTCCATGATTTCTCTATAACCATTAACAAAGTTACAATCAGGACTTCGAGATGAAGATGAAGAAAAGACTGAGAGACCCATTGAATGGTTCTTGTCTTTCTCACTGAATCTCCTACTTGGTTTGCTCAAAAGTACCTGAAGCGTCCATTCTGTCTTCAAGTGAGGTCAAGATGCGGCTCAGCTCCAGAAAAGTGTGATAAGGTAGATAAGGTATTTGATAAGGTAGATTTCTTGGTTTGGAAAAAAGATGCAGTATTTGAGACTGAAAATGAACTTTTACTTTCACAGAAAACCCATGATATTTAGAGTCCTATATAGTTCAGAATAACGTGTGAACTGCTTAGCTTTGCAGAATTTAGATCCATATTTATATTACATAAGAAACACCTACCAAATAATTTTTCAACCTTTATGATTTCAGAAAATATAAACTACATGAGGGTCCTAGCACATATATTTTAATATTTGGACCTGGACATTAACTTGCCAAGATTTGGCAAACAAATAAAATATAAAGTCATGCAGATAAGGAATATAAAGGAAATGGAAAGCAAAAACATACTAGTGGCAGCTATTTTCTCTCACAGAGGGGACTGGAGAAATGCACGTGAGAAAGCAACTCTAATGATACTTGAGGGCTTTATTTGGAAAACCTATTTTTAAAGTACTGACTATTTTGAATAGGCTGCAGTTTCTCAATTAAACTAATTTTGGTACCAGTTTCAAATATTGATTATAATTGTATTGTAATCGGATAATTGAAAGAGAAGCCATCATTTTCCTCATACATATTTTATCACATATGTCCATTTTAATCAGTAAATTTTCTACAAAGTGTCATGTGTTGAAATTAAGATGCATGATTAATGGTTCTAAAGCCCAAATATATCACAGTGTGATATATAATTCGAAAAAAGAAATGTGGCTTGTTGATAAAAAAGATACTCTTACTTTCATTAATTTTTAAAAATCAAGAACAGTTGCTTAGTTTTGGTTCAGTTCACTTGATAATTTAACAAATCAGTTAAGCACAATAATACAATTTTATCCACATGATGAGAGGGAAAAGAATCACTTATTACTTCAGATAGCTGTGTGTTTTCAGTTTCAGTAAGAGATTGTGATTGCTACCATAGTACAATTTTAGACTGAATATAAAATTTTAATTCTGAGAGGAAATTTACTGGAATAATATAAAGAGAAGAGAATCATATCAGTGAGAAAGCTTCAGTAAGATCCCTAGGGTTAGACTAAATATGAATTGCTATGTTGTAGACAAAGATGCATAGGGATTAAGCTTTCATTTCAAACATAGTCTATTTTGCCATTAAATCATATAAAATACCTATTACTTTTTCAAATTGACTTTTATTTTATCTGAGTGTATTTAATAAACCAATCATTACTTTAATATGGGTTACATAATCCAAAAAATACACATATAAAATGTCTATTCTCGCCTGTTATGCTAAACACAGAAATTTATGTTCCCACATGGAGTTATTTAAGTGAAAATATGTCATCCATTTTAAAAACTAAATAACAATAACATCATAAATACTGAGAAAACATAAATGAATATTCAACAAATATACTTTTTTTCATAATGTTTGCACTAAGGGTTACTTTGTAGTGCCTTATTTCTTATATTCAAATTTCCCCAACATTGAATATAAATGTGTCTGTGTGTGTGCCTCTCAGTGTTCTTATTAGAGATGGCAGTGACAGTATTAGACACATATTTGTCACTATTTCTGAGTCTGTAATCTGAATTTAGACATCTTGCTTAAAAGGAATGACATAACTGGTTTAAATTACCTCAGATAGTTTCATAGTTGTGAGTCTGAAGCATAGGTATGCTATGGAAATTCATGATTTTTTCAAAAAATGAAAAAATGCTTAAGGCAGAAAGAACTAAGCTATAATAAGAAACCAAATTGTTAGGTTTCATAATACTATTTCAAAAGAGTAAATATATTCTTCAAACTATGGAAAATTACTCATAAACATCAAGTCCAATCAAGTCTTAGTTTGCACACATCAGCAAAATTCACTATTAAAATAACAGGTTGTGTGTGTGTGTGTGTGTGTGTGTGTGTGTGTGTGTGTGTGTGTGGTGTGTGTGAATGGTTAGCTCTTTGCCTCTAGGGACAAGCGACAAAGAGTTTTTTAAAAAAGTGTATTTTTCTATGTAAATACAAATCACAAATTCAGTATTCTAATATGGAAAGAATATTTATGCAGATAATATTTTTAAATATTTGTATGACATAATTGTAGAAGTCCTACACTACTTCTGTGATAAGAATCCTTTGGTGGAGATTTTCAAAAACTCACTATCTATAATGCAAAATCCAAGTGGGCAGATAAGTTTTTGATTGCATAAATGCCCCAATCTATAGAAAACTACAGAATGAATGCTCAGAATTATTTTTATTATAGTTGATTACAGCTTACTTTTCCCAAGCCAGTAATGAAAAAATCCTGTTGTAGAGATGCCTAAGTAATAATAACATGCACGGACTATTTTACTGTTAAATTGTAAAATAGAGGTATAAGTCAACAGGTAACCAGAATTATATAACATAAAAGAAAAGGAACAGGAAAATATTTTACGTTCTTTATTTCTCTTTACGTAAGACATTTCATGAGTCACAGAGCATTTCCACATGAGATGGCTACACAAATTATTATCAGTTACATAGACTTTATCATGGACTTTTAACTTGAATGCTAACTAAATGATCCCCTGCAATAGTACAATACATAGTATAAAACTGGGTAAGAGACTGTCAGCTCCCTATTCTGTTGATTTACCTTCATGATATAATCAAGTTAAAAAAGGAACACCAGCAAACAAAATACCCAAATAAACACAGTATGTATCAGCCCCATGCTATGTGTTTTGAAAAAAGTGGAGATCGATAGTAAGTTTGTATGAATCTGTAGTTTGCAGTGATCAAAGAAAGCAATTTTGAGAAGGTGTCATTTTATTTATTTGTTTGTTTGTTTTGATACTGGGAATCAAACTCACGAGCTCCCACTTGCCAGCAGGCACTTATGCCACTGAGCTTAATCCCCAGCCCAGAGACGGCATCATTTAAACAGACATCAGAAAGCTGTAAGTTAAGGTTGAAAACGGCTGCTTCATCGGCACTGCATTTGAAATACCTATACAAGTAGACATATATACCCCTGGGAGAGGGGAGGAGCAGGTTGTGTACTTTGGCTTGCCACATCCAGTAAAGTTGAAATAGTTCGTGCCCTCTCATGAAATTTAAAGCATTCCTATTGTGCTGTAATTCCTCTAGTGCAATCATTTTTTAGCTCTCTTCAATAGATATTTGGAATGTTAATACTGCTACCTAACTCTTTAAAAAACTTTGATCAAACTCTAACAAGTACAGTATGATCTGACTTACTTTTGACTGTATTTATATTGTTTAACTTATTTCTCTCACACATGTTCCCCAGGACAGTCCACTGGTCTTGCAGTCTGACAGGAATGTAACAGTGAACGCAAGAAATCACATGGGCCAGCTCACGGGCCAGCTGACAGTGGGTGAGTGTTCCGAGGGAGAGAGTCCTCCAAACACCGCGCTGCCTTTGCGACGGTGGATGTGTAAGTTGGAAAAGTAAAAGAACGTTATTTCTCTGATAAGTAACTGGACATCCTATTATAGCCTTGATACACTATAAGGCTAGTTATGTTTTTCTCTATTTAGGAGTTATTACTCTTTGCAATGTGTGGTTACAAAATATAATTACATTTATTTTTGTTGGTCATTATTTGTGATATATTAAATGCACCATTTTCCTAAAGTTTTTTACAACATGATTTAAAGTATAGTAAACAAATATAAAAGACATGTGAGATGATATCTATGCTTATGTTTAATTTGGGGAAATAATTATATTATGCATACTCTCTGTTTATATACATTTGAAATGTCACAATTGTTGAGTACAATGAATCCTAGTGTTTCTCAATAACATAAAATGTTTGTTGAAATTACTGTTTAGCTATGATTTTAGAATATAGAAGCTATGCATTAAAGAGATATTATACTCTATACTTAAAAAATATATTATAATAAAATAATATCAAAATAGTAGACATTATTACTTGACTATTTTATGAGGGAAAAGTCAAATAAAAATCTGATGTAATGGTAAAATTATATAAAGATTTGACATGCAGTAGATATTAATCAATATTAAAATATTATATTTGTTCTGCCATGAAACTACATAATGCTTACCCAGTTTATATCACTATCTTTTTAAATCATAGATTTATTTACCTATATTATATACAAAGTAAAAAAGATAAGTAACTTACAATTTTGAGGAATGATTTATCTTTAATAAGAAATTAGGTCCAATCATCATTTACATTTAATGCATGTTTTCAATATTTCTAATTAAATTATAGAAAAATATGACATTCAAAATGCAATAATTATAAGCATAAATTTTATTGTGTCTACTTCCATTGTTAATAGAACATTTTGATAAATATGTTTTAATGAACTTATAGAGAAAAACTTTTAAAATGCACATTTTTCCAACAATTTAATAGTGTTCTATTATAAAATTTATCCTATTACATATTTGATTCATAAAAGTATAGCATTATATATCTATTAATTTCTGTAACTTTATAGTATTCTGTAATAGGTAAAAACATATCATTTTCAAAGACATTAGTAAGAAAATTGATTCCAAATTAAAAGGCATATGTCTGGATATATATTTCATTTAGCAACATCAGACACTAAACTTTAGTGTCAGTGCAAACTCATACTAGTTACATTAGGCATGCAAAAACAGGCTGACAGAGAGTTCTACATTTGGCAAATTTTACATAAAATAATTTTTAAAATTTGAGCATTCTTAAAAATGTTTCTTTTACATTCTGTTCTTCCTATAATGGAGTTCTCCATAGACATGACAAAATGAAAATTAAGCCCACAAAGACCACACCATAGTCCTCAGTCAAACAGAACAGCTGTATAATTCTTGAATGAAGTAAAGCAGATGTTGTTACAGTGATTGTAATCAAATATCATTCACATTTTGCTACATGTTTTCTTGGATAAAATATAAAAACATATTTTACTTATATTTTAGATGCTTTTCCAAATGTATTTTAATGTATTGTTAGTATTTATCAAAGAAGAAGAGAAAGGAAGAGAAGAAGTTATTTATTTTTCGTAAGTTGTTTATGCTTCAAATTAATAAGTTAATGATGCATTCCACTATTTCTGTGGAAAGAAAAGTCTTATTCCACTGAGCCTTAACCTAAAAACTGGTCCTCCGAGTGTGGTATACTTAGTGACTTGCATCTTTTTACTGCTCGGCATTTCTCAATAAATATAGATCAAAAGAAGAATTAGACTAGAATTGAGGGAATAGGGAAATAAGATATTCGCATTGAAGTCACATCACGTCAGGCTACTTAGTTCAATGGGCTTCAATAAAACAATTTATCTTTTGAAGATTCAGTTTTTTATCTCTAAACTAAGAATAATGATACACACTTTGAATGTGGTAATAAAAATGATATTCAATTTTATTTTGAATGTGCAATTATTTTGAAAATTGTTTTTATAATTATTGATGTCTTTTGTGTTACAAATGCTTTGAAAATGTTAGAAATTGCATGACTTTTTATTGTATATCTGAGAACAGTAATTAAGGTATGTACCTTAAATTCTTACTGTTGCAGAATTTTGTAACAGCATCATGGATAACAAATATGCATGACTTATGGAAACATGAATCATAAAGTGGCAAATTTACCTCTAAATAGAATCTGAAGACACACTGAATAATTTCAGGCAGAATAGAAAATCATCTTTTGTTACACATAGTAACTATTGCCACTTTTTTTCTTGTTCTTATTTTTTCTTTCCTTTTATTCTTTGATTACAGCATAGCCTTGATTACTGCATTTAAGATTGGTACTAATCAATAATATTTTAAAATTAGATTACCACCAAATCAAAAAGCAATTGTGGACAAAATTTCCAGATGGTCATTATTTAAGGGAAAAAATTCTGATATCTACCAGTCTAGCAATTGTAGTTAGAAAAGTACAGTCAATTTTGTCAATGAAGGAGACTTGGAATATTTTCTCCTAGAGTTTATTCCTACTAAGGAGAACAAAGAAAATCTGCCTTAGTATAATTATATCTCCCATTTTTATCCTTGAAGTCATGTGTGAGATTTCAGCAAAGGAAATACCCATTCTCCCAAAAAATGTTGGAAAGGCTGTGGGGAAAAAGAAACTCTTCTGCACTATTGGTGCGAGTGTAGACTGGTGCAACCACTGTGGAGGTCAGTCTGGGATTGGAAGTTCCATTTGACCCAGCCATTCCACTTCTAAGCATATTCCCAGAAGAACTAAAAACATCGACCACAGTGATATATGTGCATCCATGTTCATAGCAGCACAATTTGTAAGAGCCCGATCTTGGAAACAACCTAAGTGTCCATCAGCTGAGAAATGGATAAAAAAAAGATGTGGTATTTTTATTCAATGGAGTACTACTCAGCTATAAATAATGATGGCATTGAAATATTTATAAATAAATGGATGCAACTTGAGGCCATACTCATAAGTGAAATAAATCAAACTCACATGTATAAATACTGTATAGTCTCCCTAGCATAAGAAATGGTAAGAGTACATAAGATTCCCCATTACATTGCTTTGAAGTCTTACAATGTTTTAACTCATTAGTTGGAATGGTTTTATTCTGTTTTGTTTGATTTTGTTATGTGTGATGGTATGAACAGCCTCTTTGAGGAAAACAAGACAGTATGGCAGCCTAGCTGATTTAATATGATCTTGCTTTGAAGTCCTACCACGCTTTTTTCTTCTATTTCCATTGGTTGTAACATTTTGTGTCTTATTGGATTTTAATGTGTGATACTATAAACAAATTTTTATGGAAAATGAGATATTACAGTAGCCATTGTTCATTTTTTGTTATTTGTGTCTGAATGTCCTGTAATACTCTCATTCTTTTGAATGGTTTTATGCTATTTTGTTATGTTTGATACTGTCGTGTGTGAAGGTATGTTTAACTGTTTCAAAGATAAGAGACATTATGGTAGCTAGCTACTATTGATATCCGGTTGTCTTGTTGTGAAGTGCTGTGTTGCATGCATTGTTCTATTCTGATTTGCTTTATTCTGTTCTCTTTTGTTTTATTCTCTTTAAAATAAAAAGGAAATACCCAGTCTCTTGCACCATGCCATCCTTTATCATACTATAAATCTACATTCTTCTATTTCAGCTCATAGAAATAGGTGTAATTCAGGTACTAAAGAGATCCACTGTGCTAATTCTATCCCAGACTCACGCTCTGAATGTGAAATCAAATCATTTTAATCCATTAACTGCTTAGCCAACTCCAAAATAATCAAATTAATCTAATTTTTAAAAACTAGATTAAAAATCTAGTTGGTAAATATTTTTTGGGAAATTATGAAGTTTAAGGTTTTGTGTTAAATTGATGTAAAATCAGACATATCCTAACAGAATTCACTCACAACGTCTAAAATTTTCATAACCATCCTAACCATGGAGGAGATTAATGAACTCAAGTTTCTTCCTCCAAATTTTTCTTCTTAGAATAAAGCTGAAAGAAAGGAATGTGAGTGTTGTCGTTAAGTGATTACAGAAAGTACAACACCTCGGCGGTCAGACTCTGAAGAAAATGCAAGAACTTTTTTAAATGAGTCTCTAAATCATTCTCCACATCAAATTTTTCTCTTATTTGGTCTATAATTTCTCCTTTATAGAAATGACACAAATGATGCGTGATTTTAGATGTTATCTATTCATGTGGTAGAATGTTTCCCTTGACTTTCCATCAAATAATGTGGATAAAAGATAGGACTTATGCAACATCATTGTGAAGCTTGTCTTCACTGTCAATGTTATATATAGAATACAAATAATTTCTTTAGACCTGCAAATATAAAACATTTGTACATAATTCTGATAAAATCTTCATAGAAATACTGATAGTAACAACTAACACATTAGTGTATGTGTTCACTAAAAATGTATTTCCACATATAAGGATAATTAATTATCTACTTATCATTGATATTACAATGATCTTGAATAGAATAGGTTTAAACTATATTTTAAAATATTTGATTGTTTTTATTTTTTATTTTTGTACTAATAATTGAACTCAGGGTCTTGTGCTTGCCAGGCAGGTTCTGAGAGAGGCAACTGAGCTGTATCCCCAGCCCTTTGAAGTATTTTAAGAGTAAACATGCTGATTTCAGATTTATTATTGTTAATTAATCTTAGCAAACTTGACTAAAGTATTACATTATAGGTAGTTTTATATTATAAAATATTTTTTGCACTTATCACATACTTTTATAAAAGAGATAATGTGATCTTCTTCCTTCTTATCTGCCTTAGATCAACATTCTGTACATTTCAATTATATAAATAATGGGGGGAATGAACTGAGAAATTTAATAAAGTATAATCTTAATTATTTTAAATACTTTTATTTATAATAGCTG